CGTGATTGGCGGAATCCCAACAGGGGGTTCGTATTCTGGCCGCCAGGAGCAGAGGGGAGGGGGGGGGTCGTAGTGAGTGCGGCAGCCGGTAACGAGCAGCGCAAATTGTCAATGTGCTGAGTCCTGTACAACGAAACTTGCTTTGTAGAGAACTCGGATATGCAAAAAAATAGTACAAAACTTTCATTCATCAAACTAATCCGAAATAACTGCAAATATTAATAAGTCGACATTATCTCGTAAGTCCGTTGGTGACTAAACAGTACAACTCAAACTCTGGTTCGCTGCCAATGATATGGCGTGTCCGCGGTCGCGCTTGGCGCTGAGCCAACCTGTTTTTTCTCGACAAGCGACAGGACTACCATATCGTTCATATCAGACGTTTTCCAGCAGTTGGTCTCCTTTATCGGAGTCAGCGATTGGTGGAGCACGAATCTGGCAGCGTTGACAGGGACATGTTCCATATACGCAACGGAAAACACTGTAAACAAGTGCACAGGCTCGCCATGGACCTCCCTGAACCTTATAGACACATTTGCTCGCGTGAACAGACATTACGCACAAGTTGCACCATCCCATCACCTCTGCGCGGCCCTCAGTGCGCGGCGCATCCAAAGTTGGCGTGATCGGCGCTAAACGAACCATATCCTGCTCCTGCTCCACCACAGGATACGTTCTACATGCGTTCCTGGCTATTCGAACACGCTCACTTGAAACGGTACACAGGAAACGGTTTTTTCGCGCAGCTGGGAGTGTTCCTCAAGAAATCCCCATAGCGAGATCTCATGAATCCCGAGAGCTTCAGAAACAGTTCAAGAGGTTTTTAGAAAGAGAAAATCTTCAAACACTCGAAACCATTCTCAGATTTGTGAAATGTTGAGTTACAAAAAAATATATTGATTCAAACCTGTTCGGTTGAAACCACTCCCCAACGAATCCCTATGGCAGATTTCTCTGTGATTTTTGCGACGTTCATAAACGTTTTAGTACTTTTAGGAAGTGCAAACCTTCCTCTACACGAGTACGGTCTCCTCTTCCCCACAGGTCCGCTTTTGAGGAAGTTATGGTCCTTCAAAGACACCTACTTTGCTGGAAAATTCTCGCTCCATGGCTAAAATTGCCGAACGATCTGCGGTCACATCTGCAATTACATGCGCTTTCTGCTACCGTACTCCAATAATCGGGGTAATGCATTTTTACGGCGGTTTGTATAACTGTTACGTAGTGAGACAAGCCTAACTTTCTCTTTTCCTCGTCCTCAATCTTGGGAATAGACGTTGTTAACACTGTGGTCGCTGATGGCCGCTCCCAGAGAGGGAGTCCACCTCAGGTTAACGATGAATTTAATCGCGATACATCGTTATTATTACCATGTGTGTTTCAAAACGGCCATCGAAGAAGTTCATCATACGAGTTTCTCATAATACGATTGTACCGTTTTTGTTTGCAATCATCTCTGTATTGTTCTATTATGTCATGACTTCAAGTCGTCCATTTAGTATGGGCACCTTCATACAAGTAGAATTTCATAGTGGGCGTTTCATAGTTTCATTTAAGGCGAAAAAAACCGAACGGCAAAAAAGGGGGGGTCGTACCGAACCCCCAAAAAAGGGGGGGGTCGTACAGGCTCGACCAAAATCCCCATCGAATGCTGTGCCCTGTTTCCCCCTTTTCGCGCCGACTATATGCTCATCGCTCGTCGTCGGCGAAAAAGCCGTGGGGGGAGGTCGTGACTGGGGCCCCATTCGAAGATGGGGGGGGGGTTGTACTCACACGACATTTCGCACATCCCATGTGCTACCCTGTAGTGGGACCGGCCGCTATGAAAGGTTCTGTGGACCCTCTTTTCTAACGCTCCTTGTCAGCTCATATCAGTCGTGATTACTTTCTGTCGCCCACCAACAATGTTGCAGTTGTACCCTCTGTACTACTTATCAATTTGAACTTTCTATGTCTCAACCGAACACAGTTATGAATTTCTCGTTCAGACATACACACACCAACAGACAAACTTAGCGGATTATATGTAGTAGGATAGTTGATCTGTGTCAATCAAGTGAGGAGGAGTCGTTTTTAAGGCCTGCGCTAAACATGAGAAGCAGCTCCGATGTGGATGGCTGCTGAATATTGAAGGTAGAAGTCACCAGAGAGCGGCGTCTCGGAACTTGAAAAAGAATGGGAACCATAAGTTAGGATAAAAGAGATACTTATAGTTTTATTTGTCCTCAAAAAATTCCTGGCTGTGTGACTTGAACATACACTCATTGCAGAATGATGTTCGAAAAGAACTGCAACCGATAAGCGATTCTCACAAGGATCTTAATCCATTGGCGTCGCGTCGGTGACGTGGCAACTGGATTCGACCATGTTCGAGCGCGGTGCATTTACTAGTGGATAGATTGCCCTTCATTTCTATTTGGCGAACTTCAGAAAGGGTCAAGTAAGCCAGCCAGATCTGTTTGGGTCAGGGTAGCCTGATCTGCGTGGTCGCTTCGGGCGTGATCTGAAGGAGATATGAGGAATGGGAAGAGTTATCCTACTAATATAATCGGCTATGTCCGTGTGTGTGTGTGTGTGTGTGTGTGTGTGTGTGTGTGTGTGTGTGTGTGTGTGTGTGTGTGTGTGTGTGTGTGTGTGTGTGTGTGTGTGTGTGTGTGTGTGTGTGTGTGTGTGTGTGTGTGTCTGTCTGTCTGTCTGTCACGAAATTCATAGCACCTGAAGCAGAGCTCGGCGGGGTTGGGTCATGGTGGGGATGGATAGAGCATGGGACAAAACCCAAATAGCACCCATGACCCATGCTAAGCCCCGCCCACTGTGGGCGGGGCGTGCGTCCAAAGTTAGCGATGTCACTTAAAAAAAGTCATAACTCGGTCCCAGAGCAGTCCCGTGATGAGGAAACAGTGCAGTATAGTTAACAAAGGCCTGACAGACCAAAATAGGAGACAACACCGGGAAGTGGGCGGGGCGTTCTTGAGATGGGCGGTGCTTCCCGTGTCACTGAAAAAAAGCTATAACTCGGCTAAAAGGCAACCCGGAGATGGGAAAAAGTAGAATAAGGCTAACATTGGGTTGGCGGAGCAAATGGAGGAAATACACCCGAAATGGGCTGGGCGTGCTTGAGATGGGCGGCGCTTTCCATAAAGGTAGGTAACTCGGTTCCCGAAAATTTAGAGGTCGCAGAAAACTCCATGACGAAGATGAACATCTGTCAAGAGTCCACCATGTTTGCGGAGGTACCAAGGCCGCCCACAGTGGCGATTTTACCCGAGGCACCATTGTAAAAAACCGTAATTTGGTGCTAAAGCACTACAGATGGCGCAAAAAAGTGGATTATGGCCTCCCAAGTGATCACATGCAGGAATGTGCGAGCATTCGTTGTGGGCGGAGCCTGCCCCAAGGTGGGTGGAGCCAAACTTAAAAAATTCGCAAAACGCTTCCAGAGCACTCTAGACACCGGGAAAAAGTAGTTTAAGGTCATCGAGGGGTCATTGGTTGAGAAGCGCGGGCATACGTTGTGGGCGGGGCGCGCCCCAAGGTGGGTGGAGCCAAATTTAAAAAACAAAACTGTTCCAGAGCACTCAGATTCAGAAAAGTAGTTTAAGCGTCATCGGAGGGGCGTAAGTTGAGAAACAGCGCGAGCATTCGTTGTGGGCGGAGCCTGCCCCAAGGTGGGTGGAGCCAAATTTAAAAAATTGCAAAACGGTTCCAGAGCACTCCAGACACCAGGAAAAAGTAGTTTAAGGTCATCGAGCGGGTCATTGGTTGAGAAAGCGCGGAGGCATTTCGTTGTGGGCGGAGCGTGCCCCAAGTGGGTGGAGCCAAATTTAAAAAATTCGCAAAACGGTTCCAGAGCACTCCAGACACTGGGAAAAAGTAGTTTAAGGTCATCGAGGGCGCGTCATGGTGAGAGCGAGGCATACATTGTGGGGCGGGGCGTGCCCAGAGGTGGGTGGAGCCAAATTTTAAAAAATCGCAAAACGGTTCCAGAGCACTCCAGATTCAAAAGTAGTTTAAGAACAGCGAGGGTCCATGGTGAGAAATCGCGGGGCATACGTGGGCGGGGGCGTGCCGAGTGTGGGGTGAGTCAAATTATAAAAAATTTGCAAAACTGACTTCCAGAGCACTTCCAGATTCCAGGAAAAAAGGGATTATGAAAAGCGAGGGTTATGAAGTGGAGACATCGCGGGGCATACCGTGGGCGCGGGTCGTGTACGGATGTGGGTGGAGCCAAATTTAAAAAATCGCAAAAACGGTTCAGAGCCATCCGGGACACCACTAAAAGTAGTTTAAGGTCATCGAGGGTCATAAGTTGAGAAGCGCGAGGCATTCGTTGTGGGCGGGGCCTGCCCCAAGGTGGGTGGAGCCAAACTTAAAAAAATTCGCAAAACGGTTCCAGAGCACTCCAGACACTGGGAAGAAGTAGTTTAAGATCAGCGAGGGGTCACCGGTTCACAAGTGTCAGGCATACCTGTCGTGTGTGGAGCGTGCGTCAAGGTGAGCGGGACCAGCCTTAAAATCCTCAAGCGGTTCCAGAGCACTCCAGGCACTCCAGACCTATACATATGTGATTTTTTCTATGTGATACGGCCCGGCTTTGCGGGGCGTCGCGCTTACCTGCATTCGTATGATCAAATGCTCGACTAATACCCGGCTTTTCTCTCATCTGCCCACTTCATCAACGCTCCGTGCCACCACTCCATTCACTGTAATAGTGTTGAAAGTAGCAGGTATGATGCTATTGGTCAAGGAATGTTGACCACCTGTTCAGGTTAAAGAAAAGCCTGATATTAGGTGGCTAATGAAATGAGTGGAATAAGGCAAGCGGCAAGCGTCGCGCCTGCTCGACGAAGCCGTGCTGTATCTCAAAAGGAGGGGCGCCGGTGTCTAGCGGCGAACGCCGGCTGGTTGGAATATTCCAGAAGAATACCTGAGCCTTTTTATCCTGTTGTTAAAAGCTTGTAGTCCCTAGAAATACGCTCATACTTCGTGACAAGAGCACCATGACAGAGGTGTTGAACGCACTGTCGAGTGTTCGAGTATCTTCTGTTGGTGGTGCGGTAAGCTGGATGTACAATCCATATCTGAGAGGGATAGACAGTTCCAAAGAGAGTTGCGTACTGTGCAAGCACTCCTTTATACATACGACTGCGGCTCTCTTCCCTCAGACCGTTGTTGTCATTGTTGCTACACTTTCCCATCCTGGCATAGAATCGGTACTCGTGGAAGTTTTCAACTTGAAATAGCCGTCATGTTTCTCTGCATTGGACTAAGACATGACCACATTTGTCTCAAAATGAAAATATCTCACCAGAAGCACAGCCACCGCCACGTTTAGTTGAAGTACGCAGCCACGCCTACCGCATCTCAGGGATTTCGAGGGTACATACTTGGGAACACTCCGTTTTGCCATCAGATATAGGCAATGAAATGTCTTTGTGCATTAAACGTACTGATTTCTAGCGTGAGTGGACCGAATCACAGTAAGGAATCATTTAAATAAAATTGTGAAAGGTTTAGCAAGTGAATGCCTACTCAGCGGTTCGTGATAGCGTCAATCAACGTATATCAAACACATACGATACAGCTGTGGAGAAGGTGAAATCTACTACCGGGTATGTTCACCCTCACAGAATTTTTTATTGAATCAGGGTATGGATATATTATTGTTTATTCATTTATTACTTATTCGTTTATAATATATTAGGTTAAATATTAGGCTGTCCCAAATGTTCGTGACACTTTCGAACTTTTTTTCGAGTCAAGTTTATTCCAGTGAGAAGCAATTTTGATCAACAATATATATGTTACCTTCATCGGCAACTTGTTGCCAACCACCAGGCAAAGAGTGGTTGCCTTGCTTCCAGAAGCCTTCTGGTTTCGTGCCGAGAAAGGCAGCTGGGTCATTTTTGAGGTACTTTCAAAAATCGTATTTTTACCCAGAAGATGGCCGCTGTGGGATTAGTTTAGATGGCGATCGGAAAGAGCTAAGTCAGGGCTACACGAAGACTGTGGTGGAATTCCCCAGCTAAGCTTCAGGATCTCGAGCAGTGTCATTTTCGAAACGTGTGACCCTGAGCTGTGGTGGAGTAGGCAAACACTGCTCGGTTGTGGGACCAAATGATGAAGGATTTTCATCCTTGCTTTGCAGTTAATTACAGGAGAACTCACTGGCCACCACAGGGAACTCACTGGCCGAAGAAAAACTTTAAGGAAGGAGAAAGAAAACCAGCACATATATTGTCTGTCATATGACTGTAATAGGCGCCATTTTGGCACTAGCACCCTTTTTGGCATCTAGCTTGATATAAAATTCTATACCTGGGTTAGGTAACATCCTTATGGCAGATCCTTTATTTCCTTGTATGGCTGGCAGGCAAACCTTTATTTCCTTGTATGGCTGGCAGGCAAACTTTGCTGAAAATGTTGTGGCGCCAATACGGCCCAGTAGGCGCCAATTCGGCGTCACAACCTTTTAGCAAAAATTTATATAAGCGTGCACACCACGCTTGTTTGACCTCCTGACAAAAAAAACATAGAGCACATTTCCCCGCTAGTTTACGTGAAGCGCTCTGATTGTCCACGCTCTGCCAAGGCTGAAATCTTAACTCCTGAGCTCGGTCTTAGCGAAGCTCTAAATAGCGCCCATCCTGAAAAAGTGTATCGATACGGCAGTCTACGAATTGCCGTATAAATGTGAAAGAGCAAAAAGCAAAAAACCACAGAAACAGGACTTATAGTATGAAATTTGAGTGATCACGATCGCGCTGAAAATTGGGCGTGGTCGAGGGAGGTGGGGCTTGAGATGGTATGGATGGCAGTGTGGTTGAGGATGCGACCTTCCCTTTCCCTGTAAAACTGCTCGATCATTTTGCGAAATTTGACAGAGCGGCAAAAAAGTGGTCCACGAGGGACAATATGAGCCACCGGTGGCTCATAGCGGACGCATGCGAAAGAACGCCATTGTCCCACGCGGCGCTTTCTCGCTGAACACGATTGTCGTCAACTATTCAAACTCTATCTACCTTTATTGTCCAACACATTAATTCAGATATGATACAATAATATCTGAAGGACCAGTTTCCCTATGTTGGACAATTTCAGGAACGATAGGAGAGAAGATGTGCGCACTTTTGAGAGGGCGATGACCTCAATAGCGTTCCTGGAAGGGTCCAAATGTGGACTTTTCAAGCAGGTGAGCACTCCTTGACCATGACTAGGGCCACACGTTCCCGCGCCTTGAGGCGCTACTTATCTTCTCATTCTCGTTCTATTTATTTCCCTCTCTTTGATTGTGCCACTAATTTCAAGGCAAGAAGCACGATAAATCCAAAAGGCGTGCAGAGGGCAACAAAAACATACAGGTAGCCTTGAACTGGGAACTCGTCCAAGGAATCGTGCAGAACAAAGGTTTTTGCGCAGGTTTTAACCGATCACTTCGCTTTTTTTCCCTTCCCACTGTAACACACCTACCACTATTTCTGAGCAAGTACCAAAGTGTCTACTTTATATCTTCAAGGGTTTCAGATGAGAGTATGCGTCTTGCGACAGCTACTTGAAAAATGTGGGGTAGAGGCGATGAGCGCTTTCAACACGAGTATCAGCCTTGGCTACCTCCGAACAGAGCGACGGGAACGACTTAACCTAGATTTCGAGGTGAGTGGTACCTCCCAATTCAACCACCGACATTTGGAGTTTTCGAGTTTTTTTTTTGTGGAGCTTTGCTAGCAATTACCCCAGCTTTTGTACGAATTCAGTAGAAGTTTATTTTCCCTTATTAGAGGCTGAAATAAGATTTTGCTGAGGATTAGTTGAGTTTCCAGGTCTTCAACTACCCAGTACATCCGAACTGCATCGGCCTCTAAATGATATAGTCTCGATTGCACTCAGGATCCTTGTAAAGAATGTTACAGCAATAATTGCCAACAAAAATGTATGTGCCATATTTCAAAGATCATTTATTAAGTAAATAAATTGTATAAAAGTTACTGTTTGGGTTGTGAAGTGGATTACAGCGAGACTGGTTGCTGTCATTTCGTTCGCTCATTTTCTGAATAGAGAAGTTGTAATTGTTGTTGTTTGTAATGGTTTATTACACAATTAATCCTGTGTGGTGTCAATAAGAAGAAGAAAAAAAAACAAACACAAAAAAAAACACTTAAACAATACAAAACCAAATAAACAGAAACACAGCGCTATCAGAACTCAGTGCGTAGGAACGAACCTATCCGAATTCATAAGTGCGTGCGAACAAAAGTGGCTAAAATGAAAAACATGCGCAAAAAAGGAAAATTAGTGAATAAGATGAACGATGCCTTGCAAAGGTATTATGATGTAACATGATTTCGTCTAAAACAACCTTAAAGACAGCTACATAGTCTCCAGCTTCTCTCTTCATAGAACCTCGGCATCGTTGTTAATTGTGTGTAATTCTTTTGTGCCTGCGAGGTTGTTAGGTGGAACTGTTTATTGACGGCCTAACGTTTCGACCAGATCGTCGTCCTCGGAGGCCTGAACATCGCCCAAGATTTTTAATTTGTTTTCTAAACCGTCAAACGCCTCGTCCTCCTAGCGTTTCTGACGAAGCTTCAAGGAACAACCGAAAATCTCCCGTATGTATAACTAACTCACCAAGTCCCAACTGGCAACGCGCTACCGTTAATGTACTGCAGGTACATAGATGACTGCTTTATTGTAACATCAACACAGTCTGAAATGGACGAGTGTTACCGTTTGATGAATCAGCAGTCGCAGTACATTAAGCTCACACGAGAAACCCCACGAGATGGTTGGCTCCCCTACCTGAACACGCAGGTGAAGGTTTCCGATGGTTTGCTCAGTGTGAAGTGGTACAGGAAAGCAAGCTCCAAGAATATCTTGATTCACGCCACATCTGCACATCCTTCCGGGTTGAAACATGCGGTTGTTAGGAACATGTTCAAGACAGCTGCAAACGTATGCACAGGAGTGACAGAACGGCAAGAATCCATACGATTGGCTGCTGATATAGCTGCTTCAAACGGCTATACTGTTCCACATGTTCACAGGAGAACTCACACTGAGCGCCCCAGCGTACCACGTCAAACTCGCCAAAGCAAGGTCCCTCTATGTATACCGTTCATATCTGATAATATAACTGCTGCAATTCAAAGATGCCTGACTCGTGCGCAGCTGGCGAATGATGTTGTCTTGGTGAACATTCCCAATGACAACATCAGGCGCCAGCTCGTGCGAAACAGGCTCTACGATAAACAGTGTATATCAGAACAATGCATTATATGTCCTAATGGTAGAATAGGAGATTGCGCCAAAGTTGGCGTGATCTACCAACTTGAATGCCAAACATGTAATGCAACATACATTGGGGAGACTGGAAGGGCGCTAGCAACGCGCATCAAGGAACATCTTGCTGGTAAGAGGCGTGGTAACCTAACAACACCGCTGGGCAAGCATCTCATCGAGGAGCATTGCGGAGACGACTATGATGTGAAGTGCAAAATTTTAGCGTACGAGACTGAGGTTTCCGCCAGGAAAGCGCTGGAGGCATCTGGATTTCTGCTAGGAATCCTAGAATGAACAACCGAATGAGTGCTTATCCATAACAAATGATCTCATGCCATTTTCACCGCACTGCCAGCTACTGTGAGCAGTGAGACGTGCGAGTCTTGAATATGATTACTATATGTAAGGACAGCACAGTGAGTCTCACAAATACTACTAACCATTGACTGGGCGGCTTCTTCCGCTCTTGCCGCGGTGGACTTGGTGAGTTAGTTATACATACGGGAGATTTTCGGTTGTTCCTTGAAGCTTCGTCAGAAACGCTAGGAGGACGAGGCGTTTGACGGTTTAGAAAACAAATTAAAAATCTTGGGCGATGTTCAGGCCTCCGAGGACGACGATCTGGTCGAAACGTTAGGCCGTCAATAAACAGTTCCACCTAACAACCTCGCAAGGCACAAAAGAATTACACACTTAAAGACAGCTCCCGCGATAAAAGTCTCATGGATAGCTGCTTTCCAATTATGAAACAGTAGCTGATAAGTAATCTCCCAAAGAAGAAAACAGGCAAGAAGCGTCCTCCAGAACAACATAAACAAAATCGCTCCCTCACAGTCACACCTCCCTGCGGTCTCTGTGCAACCCCTAGCTCACAAATCTCTCTATCACATCTCACAGTAGTTGATATCATCCAGTGCAAAAAAGAATACAAAAGAAAACAACAAAAACGCAGAGGAAAAACTCTGGGAAGGAAAAAGGAATTTTATCAACACGGTGTCTGAATTTGTGATTACGGTAGCGCACCTTTTGTGCGTCGTGGTTTTGCATCACGAAAATTGCGTCACTCGTGTTTTTACGCGTTTCACCTCGCGAAATGAGGTTGAATTGAATGTATATACACCTCCAATGAGTAAACTGTAATAAAGGGGGAGGCAGAATTACACCCATGGGCATTAGCAATGCCCGCCGCCCCAACTAAGACAACTGAGTGGCCTCCGTCGGAGGACATCTAGCAAGTAAGGCGGTCCAACTGAGCAGGCGTTAGAACTAGAACTTACAGCGGCTGTAGCTCGCTTCTCGCTCGCTGTGCAGACGAATAAAGTGGGACAGTCTCTAGCTTGGGGGCTGTACTACTTGCACAAGGAAGGACGACCATGTATTACTCGAGGCGCGCGCGGGGCTGGTCTTCACAGCGCTATTAGAACTCAGTGCGTAGGAACAAACCTATCAGAATTCATAAGTGCGTGCGAACAAAACTGGTAAAAAGAAAAAACCATGCGTCCAAGAAGGGAAAATAGTGAAATACTAATAAGATGAACGATGCTTGCAAAGGTATTATGATGTAAGATGTTTGTCTAAAGCAGCCTTAAAAGCGCTCAGTTTATTCGTGGTCACTCCCAAGCGTGCCAGTCTGTTATTAAATTAGAAGCTCTACACTTCACAGGGAGTCCAAAAAAGACAGTTCTCTTGTGAGACGCTTCACAAAACCTTCAAGGCACATTATGCGATTGGCAAGTAGCGTACTAGTGAGGAAGAAAGCAGAAGAAAACGAGCCAAGTAAGACCTCCCTTCTTTTTGTTAACTCCGCGTACTGCAAGAAAGAAGGCCTCTACGTTTCATTTTTCCCCGTCTTTTTTTAGTCTCTCTTCCGCGTTCTCTAGCGTATCGTTTTGTTTCGCGACCACTTGGGCCGAATGGGCCTTGGCGATGAGCCTGCGCACTTTCATGCTAGCAAAATGGCAGGCTTTTCAGGGTTCTGGACTCATGTCATACTCTTGAGAGGGACCGGACATTTTGCTTGGTGTGCGTCTTCAAGTAATAGGATAGACGAACTCTTTAGATATTTACTTCGAACATTGCTGTTTTTCGTGCGGATAAAGCTCCCAAGACGAAAGTTGGTGGAAGTGATTTTCTACTATTAGCTTGAACAGAAAAATCTGCATCGCTTCAATTTGCCATTCTTGGGATTAGAAGAGGATGGCATGTTACTTGGAAGACGGGCAAGAGAATCGTGCGCGCCGTCGCGTGCGACGCGCCATTTGGCGATGAGCGCGGGAAAACTTCAATGTGGGCATCACGCGGCGATGGGCGCTGGGATTTCAAATAGATTTTATACCGTAGATTGTGCTGGAAACATAAAAGCATGAAGAACCTCAGTCAGATGTAAGGACTAGAGCGTTTCGGTAACACTGTTCCCTGCCCCTTGAAAATTCAAGTACGAATGGCTAAGCAAGGAGAACACGCCTCTCGTCGCGGCGGCGTCGCTGGCTCATGTCGGCACAGCGCGTAACATTACGAACCTCTGTTCAATACCCATATTTACTTTTAGTTTGTATTTCTGATTTAAGTAGCCTTCATGGTTGTGACCTTTCATGAAATCCTCCACCAATGAAATTTTAAAAAGGGGGTGTCATTTAAAAAGAGAAGGTTCAGCTCCGATACGCAGGTACCCTTGGATTGGAACTGGAAGAGAACCTCAAGCAATCTGCTGTACCTCCCAACTGCCATAGAACAGCAAGAAACATAACACAATTTCATGATCCCAATTAAACTGCTGCACGGCAGACTGTTCACCAAAATGTTCCCTCATGAGTTATGGAAGGTGAACTCAATTTTTTTTGTTCTGTGGCATGAAGGAGTCACATCTCCAAAGATTACTTCCAGCGGTACCTCATTCTTTCTAGTGACTCTGCCTCGCCAGGCTCCGTCTCCGAATTAGCCCTATAAAGCGAATGGCTACCGGACGAGTAGCGACGGGGTGGCTGCTCTAATGAAGTCATGGAGCTCATTTATAGAGGATCATAATGCCGATTGAGTTCGATCCCCCTAATCCGCAATCGTTTGGCCTTTTAACCCCTACTTGCTTGAAGCTTGACGGCCCTATTAGCGGTGTAATCCATGTTCCACATTTTCTCTTCTCAGACGAGTCACTTTACAACTTTTCTATCTCACTTTGAAATCACTACCTACGCTCCCTTATCGGGAACTGTGCTTTGAAAACCTGCGACTTAATCTCTTCGAGTACGGTACATTATGGATGATCGTGATCCAGGCAAAACAAGCAAAAGGATCATTTCCGGAATGCTCATCAAAACCAGGAGCTGTCGTATGTGGACGTGTCCGTAACGAACTCGAAACTACAACATGGTGCAGGTCACGTTCCTCTGAATACGGCAAGGAATTATTAGCTGGCTCAGAGGGTTGTTCGGCCACATTGGGTCCATATTCCATAGATCCATATTTCTACGGCACTGTAATTCTGAATGGAAGACGAGTGCGTGCCGCATCCCATAAAGTAATTTTCAGCGCCTCTGCGCTCCAGTTTCTGATTATCACAAGTGGAAAGGTATATTGGAAGCCTCCC